GTGAATAAATATAATTTTTTCAAAAAGTTTTACTATTAGCAATCCTTAGGTGCGCCATAATACCCATCGCTCCCTTATATTGCATAAAAAAAATTTAATCTGATTATTTTTTGCTTGAATTTTTATACGTATTAGTGTTTGTAATTTATCAACTTGACTTAGCCAAATTCAAAAATCGGCTTAGCCGACTATGCCTTTAGTGTGTAAAATAATTTAACCCATTATTATAAAAGTTGTTTGTCTATTTTCCTAAATCTAAATTCAGTCGGTTAAAGTCGGCTAATTTCAAGTCGACCACAATCACAAATTTATGTTACACATAGAACAAACAGTTGGTTATTCGGTTCTGACCTATTTTGGAATTTAATCTTTCGAAATTTTATGGTCCCTTGAGCCGGTATTGGTTCCAACCAAACAGACGGAGAGATGTCTTTATATGTGCAACAATTATATAAGTAAAGATAATGGTAAAAAATGCCACAAACGGTTATACTTTTCTTTGGCCTATAATTATTCATTCTTTGCAATTTTTTTTTTTTGGAACGGGTCAGAGATTTTTGTGATAACCAAAAAATAAACTTTTATGACATAAAAAACAATAAATGCTGACAAAAAAGAAACAACAAACAAATTTAGAGTGTAAACGAGAAGATAGGGCAACATATGAGTCCGATTCATCACTAAAATTAAGCATAGAGTTTGAAGTTGGAAGAGCATTGGTATTACGACCCAATCAGATTGTGAGAGGTATTGATTAATGTGCTGCACGAAATTCTATTCTTCTAAATAGAAATATAAATAACCAGGTTTGCTCGGTCTAAACATTATATAGGAGCAATTATATTAAAGGTTTCCGAAACTGATAGAACCATATGGGCATCTACCATTAAAGTCAAATTTCGAGGTAGTATTTTACAGTAAATTATGTTCATACCATTGATTCCGATTGTGTTCTAAAAAAATCGACTCTTTTATCTTAAAGCGGATGAAACTGCTACATCTCATCTAATGTCATGCACTGCAAGAACCACATACTTTGAATGTAGCAGTACAGTTTGGAGTGGTAACCTTGGGGGTAGAGGTAATTTTTAATATATACGAATGATTTAAAAATGGAACCTGAAATATTTTTATGCATTTGATAGATTGTTCAGCCCTAACCAATAGCTATTTAACATTAAATCGCGGTTTCAGAAATTAAATTCGTAAAGTGAAAGTCAGCAATCAATTGCATAAAAATATTATAAAATTATTGTGGGTTTTCTTTGACTTCATTTATACTGTCACTCAAAAAAAAAAAGTACGGGATCGCTTAATTAGACCAGTAATTAATTAAATTATGCTTTTCATTAATAGTTAATGATTATTGTCCCTGGAAAGAGCTTACTCCAGGAGCGTATCGGTTTAATTTTGCACTAAAAGTAAGGTTTTCAATCGTAAATTAATAGAGTTCCAATCCGGTTAGCGTTTATCCGGATAATTATCAGATACCCGGATCTGAATTTATTTTTGGTATCTGTCAGATTATCCGGATATCAATAGTAAACGGATATTCGAATATCAGGTGACGGATTTATCCGGATTGGAACTCTAATAAATTAGATTTAATTGAAACTGAATGCAAAATTGTTCATTAAAATTTAAATTTTAATTTTAAGTTACCCGCCGTAAACTTTCCGCCATCGATCGAGGTATCGTGTTTGTAAACAAATTTATGGCATCTGTATTAATAGAATATTGCGACCATAACAATTTTTATTCAATCGTTCAGGGACCAAAAGGGTTCTCAATACGCTACGTATGGCAGCCTGTGATTGAAGGTGCTGGTGGAACACTCATTGAAGGACCCGAAGTTGTTACACCTTTCATTCCGATCTATTTTGCACCACCTGATCAAGTATGGACCTATAAAGAGACCTTACGTAATGAAGATAAAATTTTGATGCACGTTGAAGCGATTTTACCAAAGCATGTGTTTGCACCCGGTAATTACTGCACATTTCTAATTGCTTCTTGATTTATATATACATATATCCTTTAATTAATTGAATATCCAATTTGAATTTACGCAGGTGAAGAATTTAATTTCGCTCTTCATATTACAAATCATTCTGCTGGACGTATCACGTACACTCAATGTTCTCTTCGTAAACATTACGAAGGTCCTCTTGATAAGGATATCATATGTGACAAACATGAACGTTCTCTTGCTTCTACTGAAGGACGTTGTGATATACCGGCTATGCAGCGTCTGCAGACTGGAAAGATCGAATTTTCACTTACAATTCCTAAGAAACACCATCATGTGCCTCCAACATTTACAGGGCGTCATTTACGAGTGTACTACACTTTGCGATGCGTTATTCAAGTAGAATCTGGTAAATTTATTACTAACATGCAATTCTATGAAGTTACCATTCCTATTTCTGTGGCATCATTCCCACATTTGAAAGGACTAGTCAACTCTTTCCCTCCATATTCTGAATCTCGTGTCAAACCGTACTTTTTTGATCCTAAAGAAGATTTTCCCCCCGATCATACTGAAAGCATTAAATCACCTTATTCCGTTTTGATGTCACAGTTTGACGCATTTTGTGAAGGATTTGATCTAGATCCATACTCTTATTATTATAGTGATAATACCTCTAGTAATAATGGTAGTCTTATTGAAAACACACGATTCGTTACCATACCTAATAATATATAACATCTATTCTCATGACGAAATGAAAGACTGTATCACTACATAATCTTGCCTGAAAGCTTAATTCTAAGTTTTTAGTTTAACCTCGAACGAAATTTATTTTAATTAGCATATAAAATAATATTAAAAACATGTTATTCTTATTAATTTATTTTGTATGAGCGATAGAATTATCAAGTTCAACTACATGTTAAAAAAAAAAGTATTGATTATATTTATAATAAAGGGAACTGATGTTTCCACTTTTTTGTTTGATATTCATGTAGATCACTTTTTAAAGATTCTCAATTTTGCCAGATCGTTTTTTCCGTATATGTATATGTTGTGTAATTATTCGTGCATGTGTAGAC